ACATCAAGGGTGTAGACGCATTCCAGCAGGAGGGATAGAGGACCAGGCGGCATGGGAATTCCAGATGGAAAGTGATGAGGACAAGCTGTCTGGGTGTGTGCTGCAGGGAGCAGGCTGGATTTCTGAGTTCGTGTCTTTGTGCTCTGAGTCTGTCCGACTGCCGTGCTACTGTTCTCATCAGTCCTTGTCGAGGATGCAAGCTTGTACTTCCCTTAGGTTCTCTGGTCCCTTTCTCGAGGGCAGGGAACATGTCCTAACCACCTCTCTATGATGACACGGTGTAGTGTCAACTTCAACAGACATCTGTGGTGGGGCAAATGAATGAAACGGGGCAAAAAGGACAAGGAGGGTGAGGCTTAATAAGAAGCTGTCTAGTCATTTATTCAACAAATAATTGAGCCTCCGACGTGCCACTTCCTTGGGCATATCCTGGAATACCGTCCTGAGAGAAACAGACGTTCGATTTAGAGCTTTCCCTGCGCGTGCCCTTTCCAGGCTGTGGCGTGTGACTCGAAGTGGGGCGGCGACGTGGTCTCCCTCTGGACCCTCCTTCCTTTCCTCCTGGGCTCCAGCCCTGTCTTGTCGGGGGTGGGGGGGGAGGAGGGAGGAGCGGTTAAGTCGCTGTGATAAACGGGTGCTGGGATCTTCTCACCCTTCTTCGTGGGTGCTGGTGAGATGCTCTAACGAGTCCCCTTCATCTGCGTTCCGTGAACCAAGCAGGGGGAGAGGAAGGCTTCTTTCGGCCCTGCCGCCTCTCAGCAGCCCCCCCCCCCCCCCACCCCCCCTCCCAGTCTGGTAGGCAGAGCAGATACCATGTTCCTGGCGCATCCAGCTGGGGAGTGAGAGGCCCGTCTCCCCTTCCTGCAGCCACGCCCAGTCTCCGTGACCAGGTCTCTCATCCTCCCTCCCATGGAAACCGGACACAGTGGGTCCAAGGCCGCCTGTCACTATGTGAGCCAAAGTAAGCAGAGACGGGGTTGAATAACATATGAGCGTTTATTCTAATAATGCCGGCAGCATGGGGACCCTGGAAATTCTGCTCGCACCCCCCTTGCCAGTTGGCTGGTTACATACACACGAGGGAGAAGAGAGCTACGTTCACTGCAAGTGTAACAGGGAAAGGAGAGGGGTGGGTCTGTGGTCCGGCCTTTGGCAGCAGCAGCTTTCTCACCGCGTGGATGCATCTACCAACAGGGATGTGTCCGAGGCCACGGAACGCAGCGATGCCTTCGCTGCTTTAAATCGGGATCTTTCAAAGGGTTCTGTAATCCTGCCAACGAAGCTACAGGATAAGCGAGGCTTAGAGATTTTCTGTGGCTTTGGTATCCCTGACATTCTCTAATAAGGAAATTAAGAGTTTGCTCATTTGGTTTCAGGAAATTTTGTGAAATTTCTGAGAAATCAACCCTGACTCTAAGAGCAAAAGAAGGCTTAGTTTCCATGCGGAATGCTGGTTCCTAACGTCGCTGTGGGAGGCGGGGTTGGGGAAGAGACGGGGGAGAAGGTGATGGGGACGCTGTGGCTGCCTGTCAGCCCCATAGGGACCGAGGGGCCTTGGCAATGCCAGCCTTTGGCGGAAAGTCGAAGCAGGTCTCGCCACACCTGCTGGGGCCTTCATTAGTTGCATGCTTTCCGAGGTGTTTCTCTCCTACACACCACTGAGCAGGCACATGCGGGCAACCGACTTCCTCCCGGCCCTGCCGGCTCACGCACAGCCTAATGATTCTTCCTGCAGGCTCCATGCCGGGCCACCGCCCTGGTGCCCTGCTGGGTCCGTGTGCTCCTGTCACATTTATCTCGGATGTCTGCGGGCATGGGGTGATGATTACTCACACCACACAGAGCAGAGATAGATGCATTTTCCCCACAGGGTTTTGTAATTTATTTGTTTGTTTAATTTCATGCTCTTTTTATAAAACATCCCCCCCACCCCCCACTCAGCAAATCTCCTACATCTCCTATTTCCTGTGCATCTAAGCGATGATGGAATTCCTAGAGGAAGCCCAGATAGAGGGGGTCTACATTTCCTGATCCCAAGCATCCTGAGATCCTCACAGAAGCACGCCCACTGTGACTGACTTCCCAGCCTCCTGCAAGGGCTGTCTGGACGGGGTGAACCCCTCTTTGCTTTCTCTCCGAGGACGTGCTCTCCGCGGGATGCACTGCTGGGAGTCATTCTCTGGGAGAGGGTTGGCATTGCATCACGTGTCCTTAACTAGTCTTCCTGCCCAGCCGCCCGCTTTTTGTGCAGTTGCCCAGATCTGTTGGGGCACCACAGAAGGGCATGGAGGGCTCTGGGGGCAGAACCAGTGGAAAGATACACTCCTAGCCCGGAGGAGGCCTGCGGCTGGGCCTAGGGCTCTGGGTTCCAGGACTCGGCCTCAGACGCCAGCACCTCTGCCACCTGTTGTGCCTGTGCCTGTGCCAGTCTCACTTTCTTATCTGCCAGGGAAGACAGACTGAATCCAGGGTTTCACGAGGACTGGGTGAGATGAGCCATGAGAGAGAATTCGGGACCATGGTAACGTATTGTAAGGCCAATCACCAGCCTGTTGCTCTAATCCCGTCGGGCGAGGGGCTGGGCAGCATGGTGACTCCTTCATGCTCTTTCCTAAGGTGGAAAAAACATAGCCTGTTTCCAAGGAGTAGTAGAAATGTCACAGGTAGTAGAAATTTTAATAGGCGTATAAAAATAATCTCTCTTTCATAGCTGACGATTTGCTGGACATTGGCTGGAATCCCTGAGGTTGGGGGAGGGATAGTGGAAGGAAGGCAGGTCACTGATGTACAGATAGCTATATCCACACATCAGATGTTAGGCGTGGACTGGCCTTTTATCACAGAAGTGACTTAGAGGGATGCTCTTGCTGTGTGTGTGTGTGTGTGTGTGTGTGTGTGTGTGTGTCCCTCCTTGTGCTGTATCTGCATGGGAATTATAGCAAAGGTTTTGGCTGAAAATTATGTGAGGGTGGGCGAGAATCCCTAGGTAGATAGCATACCCATGGGTGTATTTCCAAGAGTTAAAACGCAGACAAAATATACAGTGTTCCAGATGAAACCAGAACAGCAGCAATAAGGCGTCATTGCCAGCTGGTTTCAGTTGTGACCAGGCCACTGAAAAGAAAAACACCGTGGAATCTGAAAGCCAACAGCCTGACCCCCTCCGTTCTGAGCCTCGGAGCCTGGGAGAGCAGTGTTGGGGTGCACGGGGCCATTCCTGCCGGGGCAGCTCCCTCACTCACGCAGCCGCTCGGAGGGGCAGGGAGCGGATACCTGTCCGTCAGCCACTGCGTGCTCCTGGCCCTCTGACTGCCGAGGTCTAACTGCCGTAAAGTGGTGGAATTCCTGGGACAAATGTTTTCTTTTAAATTGGGGTTTATGCTTTAGAAGCTTTAGTAAGCTCATCTCTACAGCCTCTGCTATGAACTCTGTAAATGACTGGAAGACAGACCCTCCCCATCCCACTCACCAGCCCGGAGCCTCAGGCCCCTGGTGCTGCTGGTGGGTGGCTCACAGCTCCTGCTGGGGTTTTGAGATGAGTTTCACAGCAGCTCTTCGAAGCGCTTGCAACACTGATAAGACAGACTGTGTCCAGTTCTCCCCAGTTTCCGACAGGGAGAGCCAGCTGTCTGCCATTCCCACCCCAGCGTGGCCGTCCCAGTCATGCTGGCTCGGCGCCACGTTACTGCTGGTGGACGGCTTTGCAGCCTCCCCTGTTAGTGACTGTGTCCCTCCCGTTAGTGACTGGGTCCCTCCCGTTAGTGACTGGGTCCCTCCCGTCAGTGACTGGGTCCCTCCCGTCAGTGACTGGGTCCCTCCCGTTAGTGACTGGGTCCCTCCC